TGACATGGTGTATTTATTGTTAGCCCTAATAAAAACATATTTAAATATGACTTCCTTTTATGCAAAATCATTATATATTACAACTTACAATCGCCATTTCCGTAATTTTTTTACAAATTATCACGCAACGGTTGTTGCTAATCAACTAATTACTTTCTAAGATATGAGTGGTCCCTAACTTACGGTCATGCTGGTTATAGGTTGTTATTGGTGTCATCAATAAACATTAGTGTCAGGAGTTCCTACTATCTCACTAATATAAAAAGTTTTAAATATATACAATGTTTTGTATAAAGTTGAAACATCACGTACTATTGCACGTGGATGTTTACATACTATCCAGAGAAACCTGGTTAATCATCTTACCTACTGCAGAACCACGATCTCTACTTCTCTTTTAAAATACCACTAGTAATGTTTAAATTATACACGCCAGATCTTCACCCGGAGATGTATTTTCGTTAATATCGACTTATAATAACTTTGACAGCTCTTAATTTCAACTAAGTTTAACATGGAGAAATGTTAATCTTAACCTAGTCTAACCTCGAAATATCGTTATCTTATCTTAAGGTAACTTCCACAAATCTTAATCTCGAGTTAGCCTAACCTCAACAAACATTGGTCTCAAGTTAGCCTAACCTCAACAAATATTGGTTTCAAGTTAGCCTAACCTCAACAAACATTAGTCTCAAGTTAGCCTAACCTCAACAAACATTGGTCTCAAGTTAGCCTAACCTCAACAAACATTGGTCTCAAGTTTGCCTAACCTCAACAAATATTGGTCTAAAGTTAGCCTAACCTCAACAAATATTGATCTCAAGTTAGCCTAGCCTCAACAAACATTGGTCTCAAGTTAGCCTAACCTCAACAAACATTGGTCTCAAGTTAGCCTAACCTCAAAAACATTGGTCTCAAGTTAGCCTAACCTCAACAAACATTGGTCTCAAGTTAGCCAAACTCAACAAACATTGGTCTCAGGTTAGCCTAACCTCAACAAACATTGGTTTCAAGTTAGCCTAACCTCAACAAACATTGGTCTCAAGTTAGCCTAACCTCAACAAACATTGGTCTCAAGTTAGCCTAACCTCAACAAACATTGGTCTCAAGTTAGCCTAACCTCAACAAACCTTGGTCTCAAGTTAGCCTAACCTCAACAAACATTGGTCTCAAGTTAGCCTAACCTCAACAAACATTGGTCTCAAGTTAGCCTAACCTCAACAAACATTGGTCTCAAGTTTGCCTAACCTCAACAAATATTGGTCTAAAGTTAGCCTAACCTCAACAAATATTGATCTCAAGTTAGCCTAGCCTCAACAAACATTGGTCTCAAGTTAGCCTAACCTCAACAAACATTGGTCTCAAGTTAGCCTAACCTCAAAAACATTGGTCTCAAGTTAGCCTAACTTCAACAAACATTGGTCTCAAGTTAGCCAAACTCAACAAACATTGGTCTCAGGTTAGCCTAACCTCAACAAACATTGGTTTCAAGTTAGCCTAACCTCAACAAACATTGGTCTCAAGTTAGCCTAACCTCAACAAACATTGGTCTCAAGTTAGCCTAACCTCAACAAACATTGGTCTCAAGTTAGCCTAACCTCAACAAACATTGGTCTCAAGTTAGCCTAACCTCAACAAACATTGATCTCGAGTTAGCCTAACCTGAACAAACATTGGTCCCGAGTTAGCCTAACCTCATCAAACATTGGTCTCAAGTTAGCCTAACCTCAACAAACATTGATCTAAAGTTAGCCTAACCTCAACAAACATTGGTCTCAAGTTAGCCTAACCTCAACAAACATTGATCTAAAGTTAGCCTAACCTCAACAAACATTGGTCTCAAGTTAGCCTAACCTCAACAAACATTGGTCTCAAGTTAGCCTAACCTCAACAAACATTGGTCTCAAGTTAGCCTAACCTCAACAAATATTGATCTAAAGTTAGCCTAACCTCAACAAACATTGGTCTCAAGTTAGCCTAACCTCAACAAACATTAGTCTCAAGTTAGCCTAACCTCAACAAACATTGGTCTCGAGTTAGCCTAACCTCAACAAACATTGGTCTCAAGTTAGCCTAACCTCAACAAATATTGATCTCAAGTTAGCCTAACCTCAACAAACATTGGTCTCAAGTTAGCCTAACCTCAACAAATATTGATCTCAAGTTAGCCTAACCTCAACAAATATTGGTCTCAAGTTAGCCTAACCTCAACAAACATTGGTCTCAAGTTAGCCTAACCTCAACAAACATTGGTCTCAAGTTAGCCTAACCTCAACAAATATTGGTTTCAAGTTAGCCTAACCTCAACAAACATTGGTCTCAAGTTAGCATAACCTCAACAAATATTGGTCTCAAGTTAGCCTAACCTCAACAAACATTGGTCTCAAGTTAGCCTAACCTCAACAAATATTGGTCTCAAGTTAGCCTAACCTCAACAAACATTGGTCTCAAGTTAGCCTAACCTCAACAAACATTGGTCTCAAGTTAGCCTAACCTCAACAAACATTGGTCTCAAGTTAGCCTAACCTCAACAAATATTGGTCTCAAGTTAGCCTAACCTCAACAAACATTGGTCTCAAGTTAGCCTAACCTCAACAAACATTGGTCTCAAGTTAGCCTAACCTCAACAAATACTGGTCTCAAGTTAGCCTAACCTCAACAAACATTGGTCTCAAGTTAGCCTAACCTCAACAAATATTGGTCTCAAGTTAGCCTAACCTCAACAAATATTGGTCTCAAGTTAGCCTAACCTCAACAAACATTGATCTAAAGTTAGCCTAACCTCAACAAACATTGGTCTCAAGTTAGCCTAACCTCAACAAACATTGGTCTCAAGTTAGCCTAACCTCAACAAACATTGATCTCAAGTTAGCCTAACCTCAACAAACATTGGTCTCAAGTTAGCCTAACCTCAACAAACATTGGTCTCAAGTTAGCCAAACCTCAACAAACATTGATCTCAAGTTAGCCTAACCTGAACAAACATTAGTCTCAAGTTAGCCTAACCTCAACAAACATTGGTCTCAAGTTAGCCTAACCTCAACAAACATTGATCTCAAGTTAGCCTAACCTCAACAAACATTGATCTCAAGTTAGCCTAACCTCAACAAACATTGGTCTCAAGTTAGCCTAACCTCAACAAATATTGGTCTCAAGTTAGCCTAACCTCAACAAATATTGGTCTCAAGTTAGCCTAACCTCAACAAACATTGGTCTCAAGTTAGCCTTTACTCGACAAATCTGAATCACAATACTAACACGGACACATGAATTTAACCTCTCATTGAATCATGATCCACCATTAACCGTAACTAACCTTAGTCTCAAAATTATTCAATTAACCTTAATATGAACTAATCTGATATAGTCTTAATCAGACTTAACTTTTATTTTAACTTTCAAAATAGCAGAGGTGGTATGAAACATAAAAAGATACATTTGTTTCTTATGGCCAACTTTAATTTATCTCAGTTTATTAAATTAGGTTAAAATCTAACTGATTTCCGTTGGTGAAATTGGTTTAGCCCAGAATCGGCTAGATGGGATCAAGGTTATTCTAGAAGAAATATGTAACTTACGAAAAACAGAAATTGGATATTCGGGCCGGAGCCAGTTTTCTAGTTGAACATTCAAACTATAACGTTTAAAAAATAATTTCTTTGCGATATTAAGCAATTCGGAGATGAAATGAGACACTGTCGCTTATAAAATCCCACTATATGTAAGTTATGAAACAATATACCTGTTGTCTATCTCTACTTATCCTTGTCTTTGATGTCTGCTTAACTGTTGGTGTCCCAGCACGTATTAAAGAATATATATCACAGTCTTTTACATGTTCTTTTTGTGTAGGAAGGCATATCACGAGGAAATAGCACAGGAATATACAATAAAGAGTACTGTGTAATATCTATAAATCAGATTATATATAAATAGTATTAAGGCTGATCATGGTATTATTCTGAAACACGCCTGAACTGTAAGAGTGTGCATGTTGGTATTATGTAAATAATACACCTGCATAGCAATTTTATTTAAACTGGTTTGTTTTCCTGGCGAGACTTTTACACTAGACATTAAAATATATAGGTGTATTGGACTCGATATATACTCGATCGATATTCTTAGTCCTCAGGTGAGAGACACGCATGTAAACGTTGATTTGAACAGGTAGAAGTAGAAACACACAGGTAGATCGTCAGTAGGGTTTAAAGCTGCCCACAACTGAAGCGGTACTACTATCAGGCGAGAGCGCCGACAGAGACGCACGGAGTACAGTGTAGTCAATCGTCAGTTGAAAATATATCAGACGAGTATTTTGTTTAAGAGGTTGTGTTTGTACCTGTTTCCCAGTGGATACATTTACGGATAACGATGTAAGGAAGTATATTGTGTGTAGGTAAAGATTTCTACCTAACAGTGTGATATTTCACGTGGTCACGCGCTGTATAAACATACACGGGACGTATACACCAGTTTTACACTTTTAAACAACATTTACACGCGGATGTAATGGGAGTCCACGTACCTACATTCGGATAAAAGGAAAGTGTTGGTTTATCGGACATTATTTACCTGTATATATAAAGTGAACAAACTCTCGTATCGAAATTGTGATTTAAATAATCTAATTTACATAAACAAGAACGTTTGTCAACTTTGGAAGTTTTTAAACAACATTTCAGTGTTCTTTAGTAACAAGGAAATCTGTTTTTCTCTGGTGTTGGATATGTCACTGCCAGTGATTAACAGGTCATTACGGTAGACCTAAAAACACAAGACGACGTTTGACCCTTAGCATATCTTCAGCCTGTAGAAACACTGAAATCTCTGTTTCGTTTCTATATATTTGATTTATTTGAGGAATTGAAACATGGACGAAAATGTCTGGAGTGTAGTAGAACAGGAATGATGAATCGTGTGGTTTTGTGTCTCTGTGTTACTAGGGAGGTATATTACGGAGATGTACTAGCCCTTATGGATACGCACGTGCAATAAACATGGACGCTTACTTGAAACGGACGTACGGACAGAAGAGGACTGTGAACAGTCAGACCAAGTACCCATTTTGGGACTATAGGTAAGTGTATTTAGATTGTAAAGATCATATCACTTTCAGCATTAAAATACTACTACTACTACTACTACTACTACTAATCATCATCATCATCATCATCTTTTAATGACAACCTACTTTTATAGTTATCGATCTGCCCCTACATTTGATTATACAAGACAATAAATCACATTATTGTTGTCGTAAATTCATCGTTACTTTATTATTATTATTATTATTATTATTACATGTACACAGGGCCCCAATTGTTATTACTGCACAATAGGGTCCACACTCATCAGTACAGATGGCGCCTGTCACAATACCGACACACGTCGTTGTACTGTCCGTTCCGTCCTCTGTACCGTCATTATGGTGTTGATAGGGACATGGTGTTAATATTTCAACAATGTCCATTTAGGCGAGTTCATGTACTCATAGACAACTGTTTCATGTCTTCAGTACGTTCCGACATTGTCCCGTCTTCATTTGACCTTAAATGTGGCGAGGATGCCCGCATCTATCTCAGGTTTCTCAGACAGAATCTCCAGGAGACGTCGCTCAGTAATTTTTGTACTCAATAACATCATAATACCGGCGGGTGTCTGTGACAGTAGGCTATGCACTGCAATGAACCGAAAGTGTGAAACATACCATGATGAACATCAACAACGTCATGAACGCAATTAAGAAAAACGAACATCGGAAAAAATTAAGTTTATGATTGTACGCCTTGATTTGTCCATATTTGTAAGTGAAATATGAAAACGAATTCAAACATTTAATTTCTCAATTCATATTAAACATCTATTTTTATCCTGCCATACGCATGTCATCACTAAACTATCATTGACGATGAGGAAGTATCACATCGCCAAGGTCAGATGACACTGACAAAGTCAAAACTCAACCAAAGAACGTAGGTAATTTGAACATACACAGTCTTCTTTTGGTTCCAGCCTTTGGTCTGTATATCTTTACTTTGTTTTTCCGACTATTGTCTTAAACTGGACAACATCGTCTTCTCTAATTAAAGTACTCTGAAAATGACTCTGATATCATGATCAATTTTACATTTCGACAAGCAAGTATCAGTACCAGTTTAACACTTAAAAACTTTAACTTCGGAAATCAATGTCTATAGGTTAAGATGGCAATGCATGTAGACAACTTCGTCGTTGGCATCGCCATGTTAGTTTACTTTAATTTAGATAAACGATATTGCTTTTGTATTTCTTAGTTTCAAGCTAACAATGCTCTGAAAATGTGGTTTTAAAGAGAAAGTTTCATCAGCTTAAGGACTTAATATGTTACAGTGACGATATAAATGTCATATGATCAGTTTTAACTACAGCTCATTGAATACGATTATCACAGCATTAACTCAATAAAAAGGGCTTGTACTTAACCATTTAAATACTAGACACATTTACAAACAAGTTTCGTAAACAAAAAACACTGAAGTTTTTCCCGGAACGATTTACGCTGAGATAAATACCAGTGGAATCGGATAGCATTTGATTCTATATAAAAACAAGACTGTTCATTTAAAACTAAAAATACTTAATTGACTGTTCAAGTGTTGTACTTTATACAAATGGAAATTATCAATCTTTTTGAGGTGACTTGAAATAGAACAGGCTTGTTATTCGATATTAATAGTAAAAATTCCGGAACGTCGAACAGTCATTCTTAATTAGTTTTCACTTGTCGATCCGACTGACGAGATTGCCATCAAACTTGATTGAGTGATATACATTTGTATATAAAGTCATATCTTTAATGGAAATCTTTCCTTGATATTGCTGCCGTCTTGGTGTGTATTCCTGTATAGTGACTCACAAAGGTATGGTCATAACTGAAAACTTATCAACGGAGTTAAATTTGTAGATAAATCAGTATTTGACAGACTTATCTTGTAAATAACTTGGTTAATACACCCAAATATGTCTCTTTATTAATTGTATTTAAGCAAATTTTGCAGTAGATCAGAACTTTAAAGTTTGTATATAGAACTGACCGTCGCTTTATATATTTACATGTATATACCTGTATTTACCTGTTATTACATATATTATGTTCAGGTGAGAATTTCTGTGTCAGATTCAAGGCATTCTGACACATAGGACTAGATTTCATTGAACCGACTGATCACGAATAAGATCTAAGGGTTCAATAGATTTTAGTATAATGCTTGAGATTATGAACATTAATTTTCTCTCGGTACATCTAACACTGTCCTTTTCAATTCTTTCTGTAGCTTACATGACAAATATTCTCGTTAAGAGGTCATCATGGTCCACTCAGCCCATCCATTGTATCACCCCCTCCCATTCCACAGCCCCTCCCATTCCACAGCCCCCTCCCCTCCCCCGCTCTTAATACACAGGTGGCGTTTATGATACAACCGTATAAAACATCTATGTAAGTCTCTTGTTGACACTTTAAAATGGAGCACATAATTTGCATTTGATTGGGATAAGGTTTCTCGTCAAGTCCCGAAACCCGACACACTAAACATTCTCTGGTACGAAAAAAAAATTATTCTCGGACAAAACATCTGACATATTACGGCTACAGTGCGCTCGCTGAATAGGCTACTTGCATATATTTTGTAATGTACGGTTCTCAAAACTTGCCGGCGATAAATCTTATATTCTATATAAAAGAAAACAAGACATACAGTTTTCGACCTTGGCGTATAGAATCTGCCACGCTCTCGAAATGTGGAATATTGTTGCTAAACACTAAAAGATTCAAATGGTGATACAATTTCGTGATGAAGGTGTATAAAGCAAGAAAAAATAGGTCACGGTTCTGTTCAGAACTTAAGACTTGGCAAGTGTAACCTTGTTTATATTTATTTCATGACTTTGGTTTGACATTGAACATTTAATCGGAGAAAGTGTCCTTACAGCATGATATACGTTACAGAAACTTTACCCATAATTGATGACCTGTTGTCTTCTCTGCTATATATCCGAACAATACTTGTATACAATACCTGTACAGGTGCGATCTGTTTACAGATATAAATCAATACGAGCTGGACCTAAAAGTATCTTACTCGGACAATTGGGACAAACGGGCTCCGGACCTTACTGTTACTATAGACAAAGATTAATGGTCTTTCTCCTCCATATTTTATAAACCTACCGGTATTTAAGCCCCCACCCCCCACCCCATCCCGTCAACAGACGGTCAGGGGTGGATCTTATCGATCGTGCCACGTTCCGTCGATGTAAAATCTGATCTATACCAGATATTTACACCTGTCACGAAAACATGGCGTATTTCTTATCATCTCAATGACGTGCAAGAAAAAGTAGAGCCAGATTATTCCAGGTAAGTCGTTTATATACACTGCATGTAGATACAGCACTTAAAGAAAAGAGAGCTACCGATAGGCTGTAAAACCACGTTGTCTTGGGGATTATTTAATGATGCACGTACATGACACATGATTGTCTTAAGACATGTTTTTTACGTCATATACATATTTTATTTGCAAGATAAATAAATACTTTCAGAGACGGACCCGTTCTCTCTAATCGGAACCTAGGGAGTGTGTATGGCTTCTCATTAAACATATACCACAGGGTACCGTAATTTACGGTGTTACGTAGACAGGAAGAGATTTATCGTAACCTGCACGGTAAATATAAAATGAAGTAACGATTATTTTACACACTACTTGGTCATTTAAACTCTTACAAGGATACCAAGTCTACATGAAGTCTGGAACTTCTATTTCTTTGATCTTCATGAGCTGTCTTTCAGAGCTGACCTTCCTTATTGCCCAATTGCGTGCTAGCAAATCTAAAGCATCACTTTAATTAGACTCTTGTGAATTATATAATAACTCAAAATGTTTCGCCTCCGTCTTTAACTAATACTAGAACATCTTCGAGCATCTTTTTGATTGTGTTTCGTCAATTACTAAGTTACTCATAAAAGTTTAAAACGTAATGCATTACTTTAACTGAATTATCCTTTCTCTGTCGTTGTCCTTTCAAGTTTTCCTTGTGTTTGCCAAAACAGGAGCATTCTCGTGTTTGGCTTCCAGTGATAAGGGACCCTGAAAATTGAAGAATATTTGTATTTTCCTTTCAATCTAGCTTAGTATAAAATGACTAAAGAGATTAATTTTAAGACAAGACAAGAGTTTCGACTGCAGTAATTCAGAGACTTCTCCTTCGGTTTTATCTCGATATGAGTGTCAAAATTTCGGTACAAATTCAGCATCTCGATGAAAGTGTCAATATAATGATGTGAACGTCAACAACCCATTAAAACATGTAATAGAAATGAAGATTTTCATCTATTCAATTCAAACGGTGGAGAGCTCAATTGAAGGACAGCGATGAACAACGAACCATGTAAATCCACTATTCTTACTTTCAATATATTAAGCCCTTATTAATAAACTTTATTTATTTTTACAACATTTGCGAAACAAGTTATGTCAACGGATGTAAGCGCGCGAGGGGAAAACCCACGTGATCGGGCAGGTGACCCCTTACCTTTTCACGTCTGTTCCGGGAATCGAACCCCGGTCGGCTAGTTACCACTGTGCCACCCGACCACCCAATTAAGCCCTTCATTGTCATCTTTTCTTACTTATTCCTTTAGATACATTTAGACGTTCTTGTGCCGATTATTGAGATTTCCGGAAGTATACCTTTGAGGACTTCCCTTTTCTTAGATTTTAGTTAGTGAAAATATGCTTTGTAAATTACTGACAATATGGCTTCCCTCGAATCCTACCAGACGATACACCATTTTAAAATACGGTAATTAGGTTAGATTTTGTGATGGCCTGTCCTCACTGTTCTGTTGAACGACGAACACGTGTTAACCCCTACAGCCATCCAATGATGTTCACAACTCTATTAGCACAATATTCATTATTATCTCACTAACCATCTGACACTGCGACATACCTGCAAGGCGCTCGTCTGATATTGAACCATCAACCATTCATTAGCATAGTTGTATTCATAAAACAAAAAGTTGATAAGGTA